GTTGGTTAGCTTTTGATAAAAATATTTCTGAATTGGAATGCATATCTCTAAACTCCTCCAATAAAAAAAAAACCTGTAAACAGCAAGAAAAGTGTGCTAGTATCAGGTGTTTAATTACTAAATATGATTGTAACATTGATTGGGTGCAGTGTGGTACGTGCCAAAAATTGTTCCATCAATTTTGTGAAATTATTGGTGGTTCGGAAAAGAATGTATTGTGTGATATAGAGAAGTATGAGTGTTTAGCATGTCAGGGTGAAGATTTAGAATGTCTTGACCTTTATATTTCTGAAAAAATTTCTTTTATACGCGCACAGCGCGAAGTTTTAGACGTTGAGTATATTCGATTGCAGATAGAGTGTGAAAAAATATCTATAAGTAGCATGGGGACTCATGAGAGGTCTCTTTATAAGGCCCTTGAAGATTTGAAAGTTGAGCGACAAGCTTACCATGGTAATGTATTTGTAGGTAATCATTGTAAAATAGTATTAAGAAACCACTATAAACTTTGAAGTGTTATTGATGATGAAGCAATTAAAAATAGATTTGTACGTGTGTTTAGTGTTTTTAATAACTTGCAACCTATTCTTTTTAAGCGAAAATTTCTTTCTGATGCCAAAATTTCGAAGCTTCATCAATATATAAATTTATTTGCTATTGAGTTTCATGCTTGCTTTCCAAATGAAAGTATCACACGAAAAATGCATGAACTTATTTTTAATGTGCCACTATTTGTAAAATTCCATAAAACTACTGGGTTGCTGAGTGAAGAGGAGGGAGAGTGTTTGCATAATAGCGTAAATAAGGAATTAAGGCAGTTGCATTCAGTTAGAAATCAGGAGCAAAAGCTGCATCTTGTTTTAAAACGCTTTGAATTGCACAGCAAAGCTGATAGGAAGCTTCAAGCCTCTAAGGTGAGAAAGTGTGTTGTGTGTTCAGAGCGTGGCAAAAATTCATTTTATAGACAAGGTCTTTGTCTTGTTTGTGGTCATCAAATTTAGTTTAAATGTTTGAAAAGTTAAAAAAAAAATTAAACTTTTTACATCTAAGATAAATTATATAAGATCCTTAATTTACAAATAAGAGAATTCTATTCTGTTTTAATGCCTGTAATGTTTGTTCAAAATAATAATAATTTTTTATTACACTGATTTTATATATTAGGTAGATGCCCATTCTGTTCCTATTTTCAAAAGTTTATTATATCTATGCAATGCCTTTGCTCAGGTTAAAGAATGGAATAAAAGTCTAGCATCAAATGTATAGCTAACTATTTTAATTTGTGATCAGAGCAACTGGTATGTTTGTTGGATATGATTTTGTATGTTTATGTAGTTAATTCAAAAAACGTTTTATCCTTTGTTATGTAATATGTAACATTTTTTATATATATTAGATCTCCGTTCAATTTTTATCATCAAAAGTTAGTTCTACCTTCGCAGGACCTCTGCTCTACATACCTCTGGTTAAAGAATGGAATATAAGTCTCATTTATCAAGATGGTGTAAAAATTTAGCTTGATAAATTAAGAAGTTGTAAACTTTATTATCACAATTGCCAAGTTGACCAAATGTTCTTCTGGTTTTAAATGAATTATGTATGAGTCTAGTATCAACTGGGTGTTTAAAGATAGTTTACTGCTTGAAGAACTTATCAATGGACCAACTAATTATAAAACAGTTTTTAATGAAAATAAAAACGAATTATCAAAAGATTTAAATCAGCTATTTGTGTATATTTAAACACTTTATTTTTTGTGAGAAGAGATTATTGATACAAGTACCATAAAATAATTCTACTACCAAAAGCTAGGTTAATTCAAAACCTTTAACTCAATTTTGGTCATGAATTATTTTATTAGAATTGATGAGTTTTTATTTATTAACTACCTAACACCATATTATTAGAACTTTATTTTGTAATGTAATGATTTTATCAGCGTTCCAAAATAATTTTCTAAATCAAGAACTTCTATATTAAAAAAAGTACTCATTTAACAACTAATCCCCCCTTATAACGACGTTTTTCATAATTTTGCGAAAAATGTGGTTTGCTTTCACAATTCGATTAAGGCTGTTTTAGTTAACCTTAAATAATTAAGTAAGGTTTTTTTGTTTTCATTATTGTCAAACAATAAGTGTATTTGATAATAACTATTAGGAATATATTTTTCTAATTTTTTTTTGATAAAAAGTAACATCAAATTACAAAAATTTAGCCAAATTCAATATATGTCATATTTATTCTAAACTAAAAGAAGTTTTTCTACTAATGCATTAAATGTCATAAGGTAAAACATTTTATTGATGTCTTAATTGTTTTTACAAAACAAAATTACCTCTTATATTTCAAAAGTTATAAAAGTTTTAGTAACACCCCTTTAGTCAATATTTTCAAAAATTAACAAGAAGCCATTAAGCTCGGTTTGAAACAGCCGTGTATGGTTAGCTTTACAACAGATGGAATCTTAGGATCCCTTTTCTGTTAAGAGGAGAAGGGTAAATTTTTCACCTAAATGCACCTGTTAGACTTTACACTGTTGCTGGAATTTTTATAATCCATTTAATTTGGTTTAAAAGTGATTAAATGTCTAGCACTCTTCTTCCTTTCTGTAAAACTTGCGATTTTGCACTGACAACAACATTTTGACATACTCAAAAAAATTTCATGTTTCAAAATATTCCAGAATATTTATTAATAACAAATTAAGTATATATATTTATGCGTAGTGAACTTGGATCTGTAGTCAGAAAATTAACTTATCTTTTGGTTAGCTGCTAGCAAATTATGGACAAGGATGAGAGGGTGTAGTTTTATTTTATTTTCTTAAGTTGTTTTTCATTCAAAAACATTTATTTCTTACTAAATACTCGTTAACTGTGATAAATTAGAAAAACAAACATTACCAAAAAAAAAAAAAATTTATTAAGTGTATATGTATTATTATATAGAAGACCCCTTAGTAAAATGTCACCAGAAATATCTTAAATAATATAAATAAAACATAAAAATATACTAATATTAAACTAACTCAATTAAAGAAGTAGTAAATAGAGTTTAAAATTAAAAATTATTTAAATTTAACAAAAAAATTATAAGAAGTAAATAAATAAATTAAAAATAAATAAACACATATTTAAAAAAAAAAACTAAAGAAGAACAATTCATAAAGTAAAGAACAATTTATAAGAGTCAGAACAAGCAATTACAATGAACTAGAAGAACAATTCATAAAGTAAAGAACAATTTATAAGAGTCAGAACAAGCAATTACAATGAACTAGAAGAACAATTCATAAAGTAAAGAACAATTTATAAGAGTCAGAACAAGCAATTACAATGAACTAGAAGAACAATTCATAAAGTAAAGAAAAATTTATAAGAGTCAGAACAAGCAATTACAATGAACTTGAAGAACAATTCATAAAGTAAAGAACAATTTATAAGAGTCAGAACAAGCAATTACAATGAACTTGAAGAACAATTCATAAAGTAAAGAACAATTTATAAGAGTCAGAACAAGCAATTACAATGAACTAGAAGAACAATTCATAAAGTAAAGAACAATTTATAAGAGTCAGAACAAGCAATTACAATGAACTAGAAGAACAATTCATAAAGTAAAGAAAAATTTATAAGAGTCAGAACAAGCAATTACAATGAACTAGAAGAACAATTCATAAAGTAAAGAACAATTTATAAGAGTCAGAACAAGCAATTACAATGAACTTGAAGAACAATTCATAAAGTAAAGAACAATTTATAAGAGTCAGAACAAGCAATTACAATGAACTAGAAGAACAATTCATAAAGTAAAGAACAATTTATAAGAGTCAGAACAAGCAATTACAATGAACTAGAAGAACAATTCATAAAGTAAAGAACAATTTATAAGAGTCAGAACAAGCAATTACAATGAACTAGAAGAACAATTCATAAAGTAAAGAAAAATTTATAAGAGTCAGAACAAGCAATTACAATGAACTTGAAGAACAATTCATAAAGTAAAGAACAATTTATAAGAGTCAGAACAAGCAATTACAATGAACTAGAAGAACAATTCATAAAGTAAAGAACAATTTATAAGAGTCAGAACAAGCAATTACAATGAACTAGAAGAACAATTCATAAAGTAAAGAACAATTTATAAGAGTCAGAACAAGCAATTACAATGAACTTGAAGAACAATTCATAAAGTAAAGAACAATTTATAAGAGTCAGAACAAGCAATTACAATGAACTAGAAGAACAATTCATAAAGTAAAGAACAATTTATAAGAGTCAGAACAAGCAATTACAATGAACTAGAAGAACAATTCATAAAGTAAAGAACAATTTATAAGAGTCAGAACAAGCAATTACAATGAACTAGAAGAACAATTCATAAAGTAAAGAAAAATTTATAAGAGTCAGAACAAGCAATTACAATGAACTTGAAGAACAATTCATAAAGTAAAGAACAATTTATAAGAGTCAGAACAAGCAATTACAATGAACTAGAAGAACAATTCATAAAGTAAAGAACAATTTATAAGAGTCAGAACAAGCAATTACAATGAACTAGAAGAACAATTCATAAAGTAAAGAACAATTTATAAGAGTCAGAACAAGCAATTACAATGAACTTGAAGAACAATTCATAAAGTAAAGAACAATTTATAAGAGTCAGAACAAGCAATTACAATGAACTTGAAGAACAATTCATAAAGTAAAGAACAATTTATAAGAGTCAGAACAAGCAATTACAATGAACTAGAAGAACAATTCATAAAGTAAAGAACAATTTATAAGAGTCAGAACAAGCAATTACAATGAACTAGAAGAACAATTCATAAAGTAAAGAACAATTTATAAGAGTCAGAACAAGCAAGTCAAACAATTACTAAGAGTCAGAACAAGCAAGTCAAGCAATTACAATGATTTTGAAACAGATTTTGATCCACAATAAACAATGTTATTAAAATTATTCAACAATTCAGCTAACAACCTTTTTAAATATACCTTGACAAGGAAAAATTCCACGCCTGAACGAATCGTTACCACATGCATTGCGATCATTTTTTATGTCTGTAGACTTAACTTTTGCTTGCATCATCTGTAATGACATGTCAGTAACATTCTTTATACGATAGTGGTTTTCATCAAGTAACTTTTTTAACCATACTTCCAATCCATTTGGTGCATTGAAAAGTGATTGGTCGACACTTGAGAATGACTTTAAACACTTAGCAGGAGCTTGAGAAGTGTTGTTTGAAACATCGTCATAAACTTCTTGACTATCATTTGCCAATGGCTCAACTTTGTTAATAGATAAATTCTGATCACTAACATCATCGTAAATCTCTATGTCTTCATGATCACACATTGGTTGAACTATAGAGGATTCAACTGGATTGTTAACATCATCGTAAATTTCATCATTTACTGGAACAGTATTTGTAGATAATGTTGAAAGTGTGGATACAACAGGATTATTGACATCATCATAAATTTCTTCATCTGTAACAACATTACCAATTGATTCAACTTGGTTACTATGGTTACACAAAATTGGATTGATTATATCGTCATAAATCTCCATATCTTCTTGAATAATATTTTCTGATGTTCTAACTTTGTTATTAAAAATATTTGAATCATTAACATCATCATAAATTTCAATGTCTTCATCTTTATTTTGATTCATATCTTTGCAATCAGATGCTTGTAAAACGTCATCATAAACCTCAATATTATTTTGAACAATATTATCACATTTAACTTTACAAAAACGCATCTCATTCACATCATCATAAGCCTCATTGTTTTCAGAAAAGTTAATATTTTTATTAGTACATTTAATATTAATAATATCACTTGTATTCTTGACACCATTTGCTAACTGAGTTCTAGGTTTATTTATAATTAAATTTTTCATATTTTGCTCAGTAAAGGTAGTAGAATTTGATAAAACCTGTGATTCTGAAAATGAAGAAGCATTTGACAATGAGCAAGGCTTAGATACAACAGCTGGTTTGAGATGCTTTGAAAATGGCAAAATGTTTCCATCTTTACTAGTAAAAAGATCTTGCTCAGATGGTTTTTTAGGTGGGATTACAGGTTTTTTTTGAGGAGTTGGCTTTTCAGTTAATTTCTCTGAATGATCTCTCAAATTATTTGAACTTTTCGTAATTGAATTTAACTCATTCAGAAGATCTTTTTGATTGTTTCTAAATGTCTTTTTAGGCACTGTTACAGATCCAGTTTTATTAAATTTTAACTTATCGTCTAGTTTAGATGGTGTCAAATTCAAATTCTTTTCTATCTGCTTGCGAATGTCTCCAACACCACTCATTGTTTTAAAAATGCTAAATTTCAATTTCAAGATGTTTCTCTTTACATACATACATATGTATACATATATATATATATATATATATATATATATATATATATATATATATATATATATATATATATATATATATATATATATATATATATATATATATATATATATATATATATATATATATATATATATATATATATATTTATATATATATATATATATATATATATATATATATATATATATATATATATATATATATATATATATGTATATATATATGATTATATATATATATATATATATAGATATATATATATATATATATATATATATATATATATATATATGATTATATATATATATATATCACACCTCGGAATTAGGGTCGGCATTTGGCAATACCGAATTAACTGCCAATCTGAAAGTGTTTTAGGTTGGCAAAAAATTGCAGATCTTGTTTCTATGTTTTATGGTTAGACCGTAATATCAAATAATTTTTGCCGACCTGATGCCGACCACAAAAACATTGAGGTTATATATATATATATATATATATATATATATATATATATATATATATATATATATATATATATATATATATATATATATATATATATATATATATATATATATATATATATATATATATATATATATATATATATTTATATACATATATATATATATATATATATATATATATATATATATATATTTATATACATATATATATATATATATATATATATATATATATATATATATATATATATATATATATATATATATATATATATATTAGAGCCTTGCAAATCAAATCAATTCAATTCGTGAATCAAGTGTAGCTTTGATTTGAGATTCAATTCGAATAAAATGATTTGAATTTTTTAAATCACTATTTATTTTGATTTAGTTAGGATTTTTTTAGATGTTATCAAAAAAAATTTATTTATATCAGCCAGAGTAAAGTAATTGTAAATAAAAGTAAATGTAATCCAAACAATTAATTGCTTCCAAACAACTGCTGAAAAATTATTCTTGGCAAAATTAAAATAAAATTTTTTAATTTTTTTTAAAAAAAAAAAAAGATGCTTGAACTTGGATTTCCTCATACTGCTGATTTGATTTGTGATTTGATTCAATTCAAAAATCAAGACCCACTTCGATGCAAGATTCAATTCGAAATTAAAAATGCCGATTCACAGGTTTCATATAATATATTTTTTGATTTGTTAAGTCAGAGTTTTAATTTTTCAAATTAAAAAATTTTCAAACAATTTTGAATATGGTGAATTTTTAAAAACTCAAATAGTTAAATGAAAGCTATTACATATACATATAATTACAAACAAATATTGCAAACAATTGTTTCACATAATCTATCATTTTATTTGCTTTTATTGTCATCAATAAATTGATCTTTTGACTTGATGTTTTTAGAAAAAATAAGCCTAGATATTTTATTCTTTCTGATTCTGGTTCAAAGATTTTTTTGTTTATTGTTATTGTTGTTGTTGTTGTTAACTTCAGAATACATTACTATATATTCATAATTATCAAGCCTTATAAGCCAGTCTTCTGTCTATTTAAATAATGTATTTAAATCTTTTTGAAGATTAAAGGTTCTATGAAATTACCTTGGATAAAATCTTAGTATCATTTGCAAACAATATGCATTTATTGACTGTTTTGCTTGGTATGTCATTAAAGAACAAAATAAACAAGGGTCTGATATTTAAGCCATGAATGCCATGTGGCTTTAATTTAGAAAAACTCAAAACATTCTAAACTTGTTTCTCCATGCAACAGCCTTGTTTGTAAAGGTTCGTGTTTTGCAGTTATATAGTTGAGAGGGGTTATAACCACAACTAAAGTAGTCTCCTCGACTATAGTGGTCTTCTTAACCTTAAGAAGGTGAATTAATAAAAGATAAAAAATAAAAGCTTCAGCAAAGTCTAATATTACTATATTATCTTGCATACTATTGTTGTTGCAAAAGAAATTGAAATCAAGAGTTTCAAATAAGTTAAAAATACAAGAGTTTTTGATTGGGGTTGGTAAATTGCTTTAGTTTTATAGTTTAATTATTGCAAGCAGTTATTTTGTCACTATTTTGATAGAATGATGTTACATTTGTAGAATTGAAATGAATTGAGATTTGAATGGTTTTAAGTGATGTTCTAAATAGTTAGTGATAAGGCAATCATTAACTTTAAAGGACCATTTAATAAAATGGTCCTTTACTTACATTTAATAAAATGGTCCTTTACTACTTTAACAATTGCTTTAATACTTTAATAATGAAAACAATTTTTAATAGCTTCAGATGATTTATTTTCATTTTGTGATTTGGGCATAGATAAAACTCAAAACTGATATCATCAGTCTCGATGTCTTTAAACTTAATTTCAACAACTTAAGATTAAATGGTGAAACCTTATTTTTTAATAGTAAAAACATTTCAAAAGCACTTATTTTTAAATAAATCACCATGTTCATGAGATTCACCATTAAGTATCATCATTGTCTTTATAAAATTATGAATTTATAATGCATAATTTTTTTTTTATTATGTTTATCCAAAGATCTTTTGCTTTTATTCCATCTTTCTCACAATCAAATTTTAATACTAGTTTGACTTCAGCCAACACGAGAAGAAGTAAAGAGAAGTAGCCTTGCCTAATTGTATACTACAATTGTGCCCTAAAATATGCCCCTTTTATTATTATTCCTTTAATGACATTGCTATAATCAACCATGTAAACAACATAAATTGAATGGTACAGACAACCATGAAGGTATTTATCAACACCCAAGTAAACTACATTCTAGACTTGCTTAATTTTGCAAACTTTAAAATCAGTGTCAATCAACTCATGATCAAAACCTGCATTATTTTTATCATGTTTGTATATTTTATAGACAAATTATTTTATTTATAATTAATGAGATAAGTGAAACAGTTCAAAACTCAACCATATTAGTTCCTGAATTACAGGAATATTTACAATTAATTTTTAAACAGTTTTATTAATCCTAATAATTTTTGGACAATCTAAATCACTAATTTGATTCTTTTAATCTTGTTTTATTTATGTAATATTTAAATAAACATAGTTTGGATAAAATCTTAAGTAATAATGAATAATCTATTCTTCTTGAACTTTCATTGACTGCTACAAATGTAATAATATTATACATGTATATATAATAATATACATGTATATATATATATATATATATATATATATATATATATATATATATATATATTATATATATATATATATATATATGTATATAGATATATATATATAGATATAGGTATATATATATATATATATATATATATATATATATATATATATATATATATATATATATATATATATATATATATATATATATATATATATATAGATATATATATATATATATTATATATTATATATATATATAAATGTATATATATAATATATTATATATATATATATATATATATATATATATATATATATATATATATATATATATATATATTATATGTATATATATATATATATATATATATATATATATATATATATATATATATATATATATATACATATACATATATATATATATATATATATATATATATATATTTATATATATATATATATATATATATATATATATATATATATATATATATATATATATATATATATATATATATATATAATTAATGATTTATTTATAACTTTGCTTGAAAATTTTTAAATTATATAATTCGATGTAATTTGCACAGTTTTTCTGTGACTTGAATTATTTCTTTTTTAGAGCTTTACATATAATAATAGTAATACAAATAAATAAATAAAAAAAAACAACTAATTTTAAAAAAAAAACTATAAAACTTGATATAAATATTATAAAAATATCTATATCACTGACGTCAAGTGACGTCATTTGAAGTAGAATCTGATTACATAAATTTTCGCTAGACTAATTGTACACACTTAAGAAGCACGAAATATAACAAATTTCATAAGGAAAATGTCGCTAGAAAAATTTTTCACAGTTAAGGAGCAAAAAATATAATGAAACAAATTTCAAAAAGTTTACTGGCGTATGTATGATTTTTTTATAAATTATAAATATGGTGAAAATTCGCTGCACTTGATGATGCGTTTTTTGATAAGTACCGTGCAAATCAGATATTAGAATATTTATGATAAATTTAGTTTCGTTTTCACCTTTCGCATGTTACAACAATGGAAGATATTTTAACAAAAAGTTTTAAAGATTTCGATGATGCAGAAATGTCTGCAATTGAATATTGCAGATCAAGAAATAAAAAAAGAAAAGGTTGATCATTATAATAAAAAAGTAAAAGAAAGTTCACAGGTATTTTGTATTCCTATTGATGCTATATATGGCTGCAGGTAAGCCTAATAGAATTTAAGACAAGCCTCCTGCATTTTACGTAGAAGAGCACATCGCAAAACTTAAATAAGATATTTACTCTGGGGTGCTAGGACCATTTTAACACATTATCTTATTGTTATTATTTTTATTATAGTCATCATTGTTATCATCATATTAGGCCCTATATGATGATAACAATATATATGGCAATTTCCAGGATGGCAGAGATAAATTTGTGTTTAAAAAATTGTTTTTTATATTAAAAAAAAAAAATTATTTTATTTAAAATACTTTGAAACTTCTGTTAAAACAAATTTTGAACAGAAAGTGTTTAAACTGAGAGAATTAAGTTTCCCCAATGTTAGCAGTTTTTTTCTTCATTTTTAGGCCCGGGCCCATAAAAAGGCCTCCAAAATCAAAAATAGCCCCGGGCCCCAAGAAGTCTTAATCCGCCACTTACTATATGTATATATTAACTTCCATAAAAAAAAAATTTACCTAGACGGGATTGCAGTTTTCGAAAAGGTAAAGTTGTTTTATTTATGCAATAATACAAGAAGGGTCAAAATTTTTAAAATAGTGATCCTTCGTTTTGTTTGAAAAGTTTCTAATGAAAAAATTCCA